TTTTTTTATCGAACGGAAAGTGTCGGCCTGGGTTTGTGTCGAAGTGAATATGGCGTGTTCACTCACGTGGCCAGCACATATGCAAATTTATTGGAAAAGAGAAAGTGTTTGCATAAGAAAAGAGTTCAACTCCCACAGGATTGGTTTGGTACACCAACATGGCCGCCCTTTCATTGTTTTGGGACACCAATATGGCTGCCATGAGGTCATGTGAAAACATTATGTCTGGGTCTGTCTGGAGCTTTCAGAATTTGTCTGCCTGGAAACTGAATGAAAAGACTCTCTTATTATGTCCACAGGAAATCAGAGCGCAAGTTTTTGTTCCTTCAACGGAAGTTAGAACACATACAGGAACGAGAGCTGACAGCACAAGAGACACTGTCCCAAGTTCTTACTGTGGTAAGTTTGGCGTGGCATGATGCTTTTGAGACTGTTAGTTAAATATTTTTAAAATTCCTGAACCCGAAATATGAATTCTTTGCACTGATTAGCAGACATGTTTTGTAAAGAAGGGTGTCCCTGGGAACGAGGATTTTTACATACGGGTTATGACTAAGCGTGAGATCAAGATGGCTGGATATTGGCCAACGAGACACAGTCGAGGTTCATTAACACGCAGAAAAAGAAGAACGAGGTCAATGTCCAACTAACCTGAGGGAACAAACTTGGTCAATGAAGGATTTAATATGTGGGCTAAGGACACAATTTTTTTGCGGGATAAAGCGGGTAATTCCGAGCTGGCACAATAGCGCCATTTTGCCGTCTCGGATAGCCAATCACATCGCGTGAGGTGGTTCATCTTACTCGCCCGCGTAACTAGGCACATGACGATCTTCGCAACCGTTAGTTAGGTTGTTATGCAGCGCGTCTTTTTTCGAGCATAGCGTTGTTCAAATAACGGCTGCGAAAGAGGCCGTGAGGAAAGGGTGCAGTTTCTTCAACGCCGGACAGGTAAATACGGAGCGCAGAAAAAACTGCCAAATTATTTATCCTCATTACCTCTTTGCTTGACGTCGATTAGGATAAATTGGTTCTTAAATATAGCACTAGCTTGTCAGTGATGTTTTAAGATGCGATGGATAACTGCTTTAGCACAATTACTGACAGAGTTAAAATCCGCCTTTCTTTTCGATAGGCCGAGAAAACAGCCGCTGAGAGGGACAACTACGTACAATTTGTAAGTTCACACCGTGCATGTGCTCGGTTTGTAATCACGAGATTATATCTATGTCTTGTGAAGTCTGATTTCTTTTTCTGTGCGAAGCTGTCACGATGTGGTCATCTTCTGTCTTTGTCGGCCACCAATCTGCCTTCAAATCGACGGAAAAGCATGAAAAAATAATTGTGGACTATAAAGGTACAAAAACGCAAGACCTATTGGGTATAATTAACCAGTCAGGGTCAAGGAATGGTTAAAAGGGAACATCATTAATAAGGATTACTAACGGTGAACGTGAGAAATGTAAAGCAAAAAATTCCAACATGCGACACCCATGATGTACACTGTAGTTTCTTTCAGCATTACTCTGTCACCATGGTAACTTAGCTTCTTGGCGTCCCTGGTGGCTGTAGATCTTGTCATTAAAAAAGTTGAATCTTTTCTTTGCAGGCCAAAACACAGAAGGTTCAACAGGAGAAAGCTGCTTCTAAAATCCTTGCTGGAACTCAGAACATTAAGGGACTCGAGGAAAAACTCCAGGTAGGGTTTAACTAATTTGCAACAACAGCAAAGATAAAACAATTCAACTCAAGGCAGACAATTGTGATAAAATTGAGGGACATTTTTTGAGGTAATAAACTGTTGTTAAGTTATAACAAAACTCCGAGTCAAAGTTGGAAACATGCAGGGTTGGCACATCTCAGGAAATGGCTATGAAAAAAAGTTCTTCAATTTTGAGTCATGGAAAATTGACATTTGGAAGAAAAGTCTGGAAAAATTGAAATAATTAACTCGGCTGATTTAGTACCATTGAAGGTTGGAACAAACATTTGGGTCACGGTGATCTCAATTTTTTTCCATAGCGCAGATGAAAAATGTGTTGAAAAGTTATCAGTCTTAAAGAACTAATGGGTGGAAAGGGCGGCTGTCAGGGGAGGCTTGAAGCCGCTTCTATATCTGATATTTTGGTAGGTTGTTCACAGCCCTCTATTTTCTCGTACTTGTATTTGATCGTTGAACGCGCGGATAGAATCGCGCGAGAACTGGACGCCAGCGCAAAACGGGAGACTTGATTTTGGATTTATTTGGTAAGGGAAATTTTAGTTTCATTAGGAAAAAAATTCAGGGAATTTTGAAAACTGATGTTTGTGGNGAAAAAATAATTGTGGACTATAAAGGTACAAAAACGCAAGACCTATTGGGTATAATTAACCAGTCAGGGTCAAGGAATGGTTAAAAGGGAACATCATTAATACGGATTACTAACGGCGAACGTGAGAAATGTAAAGCAAAAAATTCCGACATGCGACACCCGTGATGTACGCTGTAGTTTCTTTGAGCATTACTCTGTCACCATGGTAACTTAGCTTCTTGGCGTCCCTGGTAGCTGTAGATCTTGTCATAAAAAAGTTGAATCTTTTCTTCGCAGGCCAAAACACAGAAGGTTCAACAGGAGAAAGCTGCTTCTAAAATCCTTGCTGGAACTCAGAACATTAAGGGACTCGAGGAAAAACTCCAGGTAGGGTTTGAGTAATTTGCAACAACAGCAAAGATAAAACAATTCAACTCAAGACAGACAATTAAGATAAAATTGAGGACATTTTTTAAGGTAGTAAACTGTTGTTAAGTTGTAACAAAACTCCGAGTCAAAGTTGGAAACATGCAGGGTTGCTACATCTCAGGAAATGGCTATGAAAAGAAGTTCTTCAATTTTGAGTCAAGGAAAATTGACATTTGGAAGAAAAGCTTGGAAAAATTGAAATAATTATCTCGGCTGATTTAGTACCATTGAAGGTTGGAACAAACATTTGGGTTACGGTGATCTCAATTTTTTTCCATAGCGAAGATGAAAAATTTGTTGAAAAGTTATCAGTCTTAAAGAACTAATGGGTGGAAAGGGCGGCTGTCAGGGGAGGCTTGAAGCCGCTTCTATATCAGATATTTTGGTAAGCTGTTCACAGCCCTCTATTTTCTCGTACTTGTATTTGATCGTTGAACGCGCGGGTAGAATCGCGCGAGAACTGGACGCCAGCGCAAAACGGGAGACTTGATTTTGGATTTATTTGGTAAGGGAAATTTTAGTTTCATTAGGAAAAAAATTCAGGGAATTTTGAAAACTGATGTTTGTGGCAACCATGAACCACGAACCAATTGTTCGTTCAGCTTTTTGTGTTGTGGTTGTCGTGCTTTAAGACTAATATGGTCGTGCCCGTT